ATAATGTGAAACCAAATGAATAATGTCTTCCGGGTAGGGGGAAACCTGTGGCTAGAAATTCATCTAAATTTTTTTCATGTGGTTGTACAGATATTAACACATACTATTCGAGCTCAAATCAAAGTGCACAGGCTGGTACTGCAAGGATTCATCTTAAAATTGGGTGCTTGGCGAAATTGAACAGATTCGAAGCGGTATCTCGACTTGGTTGTTTTTTGGGTATATTTGCAGATTTAGTGTTTTTTCTGTTTCATTATTTGTCTGTACTGACTACTGACTACTGTCGTGGTAAAGGGTCTCTTGCAAAAGACGATGGAAGAAGATTTGCACCAGATTCTTGTAATCTTCGTTTTAAGCATATTCATATTTTCCATATTATTTTCTCTAATCACTAGTTGCTTTGGTTTTCATATGCACATTTCTCGTTCTATGTCAGGCTGAATGGGGACCTCTCCGCCATGTCTGTGCGGTTAAAGAGCAAAGTTCTGGAGTTTCCCAAGGGTTTGCTTTCACTGATTTCCCTTCTGTGGTACGAAAGCTGTTTTTCAGTCGTACTATTTGATTTCTCTAATAGTTTCCACTAAAAATAGATTTGCTCATACTAAAGAGGATGCGGCTCAAGCAATGATGTAATAGGTTTGGGCATGAGGGGCTTCTTGTGGATGATCAAAGCTTTTTTTTTTTTTTTTTTAATTTATATATACATGTAATATATACATAGTTTTTGCTGCTGGTTGAGTGAAATCTTTTGCGAACTGATCATTGTAAATTTTGGTTTTTGCTATAGCAGTAAACCGACTGGCGGAGGAGATAGCGGATCCCTTGGAACTATTACCTCTTCAACATCAGGCCATAGTAGTCATAGAAGTATCATGAATGTGCACTTGTGATTTTCTCTTACTCTTTTGCAATAATTAGTTCTTTTCATTTGTAGTATTCTCTTAATCTTTTGGAATACAGTCTCAGTTTGGTGATAAAATTTTTACTATTACTATAAAAAAAATATATTATTTCTGGGTATTTAGTTGTGTATTCCATCTTTCTGCAGGTTACAATGGCAAATTTGGTCAGCCAGATGACAAAATGTTTTATAATCCGTCTGGTGGGTTCTTACACGGTACGTTGTTTTTGTATAGCATGTTACATAGTGGCTCATTTTAATTATAATATATTCATGAAGTAAATTTAGTTGAATAGTTCTGTTTATCTTCCAATTAACTCCTTTACATCACATCATTTTTAAACATAGTGTTTTAATCTTATCATCAATCATATTTTCAGATTACTTCTTGTCCCCGCATAACTTTTTTTTCCCCTGGTGATATGAAACTTTCCAAAAAAATTTATCTAATCATACTTAGTTTCTTTACTGCAATTTCTTGGATTTTTACTTATTGGCAGTTCCTTTTGGCAAGAATATTTGCTCTGGTTTGCTAGACTTTCGAGATTTTTTTTTAGATTAATTTTCAGAAAACAATGTGATTAGGCAGCCATGCCAGAACCACGTATCATTGTCTCTAATAAAACTTACTTTTTTTATACTAAATTAGAATCTATTTCCATCTGTTCAATTAGTGTAATGAGTCGATAACTGAGGATGCTCCATCAGCTGATTTGGTATCATCAAATCCCATTTCTACTGGCAAGAGAGGAGAAGCAGGTTAGTTTCCTTGTATTAGTTAGTTATATCAGCTGGAACCACTCTTCTGTGTAGAGGATTTTATCTGGATTTGCTTCAGGTCCAACCCAAGTTCTTGTTGTTCGTGGACTGGATGAGAATGTTGTTGAGGAAATGCTTCGTTATGAATTTTCTAATCATGCTCCTCCTATTAAGGTCCAAAAGTTTTCTTTTCCAACATGGTCACTTCTTATGCTTCTATAGTTCTATTCATGATTTTATTAATTTTTCAAAATCTTACAGGATCTGCGACTTGTCAGAGACAAATTCACACGACTGAAGAGGCTTTGCATTCGTGCATTTCTGTTCAGTAAGTTTAATATTGCTAGCCTGTTCATTCTTGATGACATAGAGGTTTCCTTATTGTGTGATGCTCAATTTTGAAGATGATTTTGCAACATCTTTTGTTAGAGGAATTGGTTACCTGGGTACATGAGTCGATTTTATTTTATTTAATCTATGATAGTAGTTGCGAAGTCCAGTGACAACATTTTTGCCAGAAAGGAGTATTTTGAAGTTTTAGGCATTTATATGTTATATGTATAACAACTTTCGAGTTGAGCCATGTGTTCTTTATTCACCGACAAGGAAATAAATAGCTCGTTAAAGTTGCCGCTATTTGAGAAATAGTTTTTTTTGGGTGTGCAATTAGCCGCTAAATCCCGCTAAATCTCCGCTATAGCTACAGTGCTATAAACGTTTTAGCCCGCTATTTAAAACCTTGTTCACCGATCAAGATGATGTCATTATTTATTGTTCGTTTCACCATTTTGATTTAAAAGTCGATAACTTCTTTTAAATGTCATGCATGAGACGAGTTGTATATATATTTTTTTAAATCTTATAAATTTGTACAGGTAGAAAGAAAATACCTTCTATTTTTTTTTTCCCAACATTAAACTCTCTGATTTAGATGAACTTCCTCTTTAGTTGTTTAATTGTCATATCTGATGCGTATTGTAACCTTCTTGGCCCACCTTTTAGTATATAATTCATGGTTTCTGAATGATTTTAGGTCAAATTCTACTAGATTTATAGGCTTTTTAGTCTGTCAATTAAAGTAAGACATATATGGGCTTTTAAGCCCAAAGTTCACCCCTGGCTAAACCTTTTAAACACCCACGCTGTATATTCTTCTGCCTCTTTCGTGTTCTCTTTTTTATTTAAGGCTGAACCAGTGGAGATTAAACTGAGCGTTATCTACAGAGGCCTTTTAATTAGGGTTCATTTGCTGATTCATTTCTTCTAGTAATTGAAGTGGTGAAACTTCCTGCTTAACATATTATATAAATTTGTTAGAATGATCCCTCACAAGATCAAGTGCAGAGAAGCTGTTCTTGCACGGTTGAAGGTGTATGAGGGTATACCACCACCTTATGATAAGCTTAAGAGGATGGCCATCCTCGAGGCTATCAAGTGTAAGTGTAATTTCAATTATTCATATATTATTGGGTTTCAGAATGTAAGTCTAGTTGTTTGATAATTGAAATGTAGATGGTTCTTTGCAAATTTCACAATCTAGTTGTTTGGTATTGGGTTTCAGTTGAGCTCAAGATTAAAATGGTTCGACACACGACAATTAAATGAAAAGAAAGCTTATCTTTTTCAATCTCTAAAGCTTATCTTTTTCAATCTCTTAATCGGATGGTCTGTGCCCAAACCAGTTTAAAGGGCATAATCATTTTGTCATGAATATAGACACAAACCAGTTTAAAGGGCATAATCATTTTGTCATTAATATAGACAGAAGTATGCGTTAAATAATTGAATTCAACATTTGACGGATTCTTTAATAAATTTATAATATATACTTGTTCCTAAATCTTGAGATGGATCGGGATATGTTAACTGCCAAAGTAAAATACCCATTTCATGGTAACACAAGAAATGGAGAGTTACTTGCATCAGGACATATTAGTGGTTCCTTTAGTGAAGGGACCTAAGGACCAACAATTGTATCACATACACCACAACAACAAATATTTGCTCTGTAGGAAGTTTTATGACGCCGATAGGATTCTGTCCTGTACAAGAATTTCGACTGCATCCTCGAACATCATGTTAATCAATTGATTAATAAGGGAATATTACCTAACATGTCTTTTCCCATTCCCACGACCGGTGAAATTCTGTTATTCTCTAAGGGAGTACAAGAGGATCATTAGGGATCTTGTCAAGGGTATTGTTGATTTGCATAGTAAAATCAGAAACGTCTTTCCTTAATTTCAGTGAAAAACCTAGTTATGAAGAACGAGGTTGTCAACTTCTACAAACTTAAGTTTCGTCCCGTCACGAAAAATGGGAAAAAGCAGGATTTGATAAATCTTGGAAGTATGATAAGAAAAAATATATATATCGCAAATATAATTGCGAATATAATTGTCATGAAAAGGATTTCAGCTTTTTGGACAAGATTGAAAAAAGTGAACAAAATTACAAGAATAGAATAAAATTTGTACCATGTTTTTTTTTATGCTCTTAAGATTTAACTATGTAATTTGTGTAGCATTGCTAAACAAGAACACTTGTTAAAACACTTGGCCATCATGAATTTTTCTACTCGACTTTGCCTTTATGAGGAATGAGAAAGAGAAGTACGTTGGTTTGATTGTCCAAAAGTTTCGTGTATATGATGGTGATGTTATTCGCGGAATAGGCAAATGCCGAGGTTGGGTTAGAAGATTTAGACAAGATATTTCTAGGAAATATGGGGCAATTACTGATTGTTTCCGACACATACAAGATCAGTACGTGGACACCGTGGACATAAATCAAGGTCACACTGATGGTGTAATCAATCGTTCGTTGATTCGATTCATACGGAATATGCAGCCCACTTAAGGGCACACATGGGTCAACTAACCCGAAACTTCTTGTTAAATTTTGCATTAAACTAAATTAGATGAAGTATTTTGACATTTTTTACTGTGCAATGCATAGCTATCATTGAGGCTTTAAATGATGAGGCTATTGAGTTGTCCATCATAGCAATGTTTTGAAAGCAACTGCTGATATTTCAGGCGAAGTTAGAGTACTTCGACCTCCTTGATATATTCACCTAAATTTGTGAGTATTAGTTCTTTAAACTCTCTCTCTATGGGCACTATATCTTTCTCTAGGCTCCCTTTTGCTCCTTGTTGATAAAGTATCAAAATTAACTTTTTATATTCCACCCCAATATGAATTGCCTTTTAAGTGCTTTGTTGTCTTTTGCAGTTCTGAGAAGCAGCATTTGATGGTATTTTTGGCCCAAAAATGCTATTTCTTTGAACTGCAAAAGACAACAAAGCAGGTTAAAAGCAATTCATATTGAGGTGGAATATAAAAAGTTAATTTTGATACTTTATCAACAAGAAGCAAAAGGGAGCCTACAAAGAGATACAGTGTCTATAAAGAGAGAGAGTTTAAAGAACTAATATTCACAAACCTAGCTGAATATATCAAGGAGGTCGAAGTCCTCTAACTTCGTCTGAAATATTAGCAGTTGCTTCCATTACATTGCTAGAATGGACAACTCAATAGCCTTAATCATTTAAAGCCTCAGTGATAAAAAAAAAAAAGTTAAAAAATTTTTCATAAAATTTAGTTTAATGTAAAATTTAACAAGAGGTTTCGGGTTACCTGAGTCCTGACGCACGTGTGGGCTGCTAGATTCCGTATAAATTGAATAACGATTGATTACACTATCAGTGTGATCCTGATTCTACGTACTGATCTTGTATGTGTCGGGAACAATCAGTAATTGCCTCATATCTCCTAGAAGTATCTTGTTTTGAATCTTCCACCCCAGCCTCTACATTTGCCTATTCCGCGAATAACATCACCATCATATACATGACACTTTTGGGCAATCAAATCATCGTACTTCTCTTTCTCATTTCTCATAAAGGCAAGTCGAGTAGAGGAATCCATGATGACTAAGTGTTTAACAAGTGTTCTTCTTGAGCAAGACCACACAAATTACATAGTTAAATCTTAACAACATAAAAAAACCAAGGCACAAATTTTATCATGTTCACGAATATAGAGCTACCTGATCACTTTTTTCATCTTGTCCAAAACGCTGAAATTCTTTTCAGGACAATCATATCCGCGATATATATCTTTTTCTTGTCACTTTCAAGATTTATCAAATCATGTTTTCTCCCGTTTTCCGTGACGGAATGAAACTTAAGTTTGTAAAAGTTGACAACCCCGTTCTTCATAACTAGGTTTTTCACTGAAATTAAGAAAAGACATTTCTGATTTTACTATGCAAATCAACAATACACTTGACAAGATCCTTAATAATCCTCCGGTACTTCCTTGGAGTATAATTGAATTTTACTGGTCGTGTAGAGGGAATGATAAAAGACATGTTAGGTAATATTCCCATATTAATCAATTGATTAACATGATCTTCGAGGGTGCAGTCGAAATTATCGTACAGGACAAATCCCTGTTGGCGTCATAAAACTTCCCACAGAGCAAATATTTGCTGTTGTGGTGTATGGGATACATTTGTTGGTCCTTAGGTCCCTTCACTAAAGAACCACTAGTATGTCCGTATTTGATGCGAGCAACTCTCCATTTCTTGTGTTACCATGAAATATGTATTTAATTTCGCAGTTAACATATCTGGATCCATTTCAACATTTAAGAACAAGTATATATTATAAATTTATTAAAGGGAACCTTATGTTTCCATCAAATGTTGAATTCAATTATTTAACGCATACTTCTATCTATATTCATGACAAAATGATTATGTCCTTTAAACTGGTTTGGGCACAGACCATCATCAGATTGCAAGAGATTAAGAAAGATACCTTTGATGTACTCCGAGCTTTCTTTTATCGTTTGTCGAACCATCTTAATCTTGAGCTCAATTAAAACACAATACCAAACAACTAGATTGTGAAATTTGCAAAGAATTAGATAATACTATAGAGAATTCTTAGAACAATAAAGGAAAGGAACAAACATAGAAATTAGAAACAAAAAGGTTCGACTAGGTGAACTCCGTACAATGTCGTGTAAAACAAATATCTATAAACATGAGTAACTCTCAAAGCTAACATGTAAAGAACTTTGTGTTCCGGTTCACACTACACACTCATGTTCAACACTACACGAGTTCCCTCAATGCCATTTAAAACATTTACACATAAAAAAAC